ACCGGGAACCTCCTAATGCAAACCACAAATTCGCTAAAACATATAAGAAACCCCACAGAGCAAACCATAAATATTTTGAAAAGCACACCAGAAACCCCCTAATGCAAACCACAAACCTGGTAAAGCAAAACACACAAAGCAAACCAAAAACGTCCTAATGCACACCACAAATATATTAAAACAAACTAGAAACCTCGCAAAGCAAACCGCAAAAGTTTCGAAAGCACACCAGAAACTTCTTAATGCAAACCCGAAACCTCCTAATGCATACCACAAATCTCCTAAAACAAACCACAAACCTCATAAAGCAAACCACAACATTTGTGAAAGCACACCAGAAACTTCCTAATGCAAACCACAAACACATTAAATCAAACCACAAAAAAGCAAACCAGAAACGTCCTAATGCAGACCACAAAAATATTAAAACAAACAGAAACCCCTCAAAGCAAACCACAAAATTTTTGAAAGCGCACCAGAAACTTCTCAATGCAAACTAAAAACACGATAACGCAAACCACAAAAGGCATACAAAAATATGAGAAACCAAACCATAGTTTTTACAATGCTAACCATAACATCCGGTGGTCGTTAACCGTTGACCAAACTCCGACGACCGTCAGTGAGAAGATTCCAACGCCGATAGGCATATTCCGTCCCCGATGACTAGATTCTGACGCCGGTATTAATATTTCGACCACGGTGAGCATATTCCGGCGACAAAAAGCATTTTCGGTGATTGGCGACCAGATTCCGGTGACTAGTGGCCGAGTTCCGGCGACCAAAATTTTGGGAAGCAAATAAAAAATTAACATTTTATTATTATTTAAACATATTTTTCATAATGACAATTATATTCCTGCTTTGATTTTGCACTAGGTCAACTCAGCTAATAAAAAGTCATCATAACCCTAGCTTCCTACTGGTTGGAGACTAGTGTTGTTACAATAACAACATAAGGAGTGTTGTCACACTATCTAGTCCCCATTTTTTAAAGAAAATATTTGGTAATGTAGGGACTAAATCAATTAACTAATGTATTGAGGAACATTTATTTTTAGATAATCATATGATTAAATTCCGGTTCACAATAATATTTCCATTTGCGTGCTATTGTAAACAAACTATTTCAGATCATATTTTGAGTGATTGATTTATCTAAAAAAAATATATGCTGAGATATTTCTTATAATAATAACTTAGTTGTTTTTTTTATGAATCGGCGGGATCTTTATTCATAAAAAAAAAGTGCTTTTGCTAGCAACACCCTTGCTAGCTAGGGGAGTATCACCATACACGACAAAGACAGCAATGAAACAATCAAAAACAAAACCTACCTCTGTGACAGATTAAACTAGTCATTCCAAAACAGATTCACCCTATCTCTCCCAAGTACATACACAATCTCAGCTTTCATACCAGACATCAGTTCTTGTAAACCCCTCACCTTATCACCATATAGTCGACGGCATCTTTCTCTCCAAGTCTGACTGATCCATGTTTGCCAGATAAACCTACATGTTTCAGCTTCTTCTGTTTGCTTATTATACTTCTCCAGCAGCCATGAAACCATGGCCTCCCGTGTTTGGAACTCGGGGACCTGCATAGGACCTGTAAACAACGCATCAAGAATCTGCCTAGCAAAGGGGCAGAGAACAAAAAGATGCTGTCTATTTTCAACTCCTCCCCCACAAAGAACACAATTCAACGATCCCTGGAAGCCCCATTTTTGCATTTTCTCCTTAGTTTGTACACTTCCTCTGATTACCAGCCAAGTAATCAGTCGATTACTTGGTATAGCCACACCCTTCCAGATTAATTTCCACCAAGTAACCCTCTGCTGAGCAGGTCTAACAAGCTGCCAGACTCGTTTAATAGAGAATCGAGGCATTGGTAACCCATCAAGTAATAAAACACCATCCTTGTTTGAAATAAAATGAGCTATTCTGCTTCTGAGCTTCAAAATTTTGCACCAATTCCAGGATCCTGAAGTGCAGTCATAGGACCAGAAACATCTCCCCTTTAGTTTGTATTTGGTGATCCATGCCACTCACAAAGGTCCCTCTTATAGCAAAATCTGCGAAATATGTTTTGTAGCACAGGCCTGATTCCAGCTATTCATGTCCCTAAAACCAAGGCCCCCTTCTCTTTTAGGATAGGTAATCTTCTTCCATGCAACATTAGCTCTAAGCTTCACCCCTCTTTCCACTCCCCATATGAAGTTACTGCACAATCTCTCTACCTCTTTAATCACAACTTTAGGTAAAAGGAAGACAGACATCCAGAATTGGTTCAAACTGTAGAGAACAGTACCCACTAGCTCAATTCTCCCTGCATAAGACAATGATTTTGCTTTCCAAGCTGTAATTTTTGCAACTATCTTCTCTATAAGTGGTTTACAGGCTGTTAAACTCAACTTGCCAGCTATCAGTGGAACCCCCAAGTATCTAACAGGGAATTCTCCCAATTTATAACCATATCTCTCAGCTCTAATTACCCTTTCTCCCTGAGATAACCCTCCAAAGAATAGTTCACATTTACTAGGGTTTGACTTCAATCCAGAAAGTTTCCTAAACTGAACAAGAATTCTCTGCAACTCCTGTACCCCATAATTAGATGCATCAGTAAAGACCAGCAGGTCATCAGCGAAACAGAGGTGGGTAAGTTTAACTCCTTTGCACATTGGGTGATATGGGAACCTCCCAGCAGTAGCCGATTGATCAATCAGACAAGTAAATATCTCCATGGAAACTGCAAATAAGTAGGGGGGCAGGGGATCCCCTTGCCTAAACCCTTTCTTGGCAGGAAAGTAACCAACTAAGCCCCATTGAAACACACACTCAGCATTGGGGTACTGACACACATCCTTATCCAAGTAATAAATCTATCTGGGAATCCCATACATTTCAGAACTTGAAAGATGAAGGACCAGCCAACCGAATCAAATGCTTTCATTAGATCGATTTTTAGAGCACGTCTAGGGGAGATATTAGTATGGGAATATTTGCTGACTAGTTCATGAGCCATTAATATGTTTTCCCCTATAAGTCTCCCTTTAACAAAAGCAGTTTGGTTTTTGCTGATCAGGGCAGGGAGCAGGGGACTTAACCTATTAGCAATAAGCTTAGAAATGCATTTATACAAAATGTTGCAACAAGAGATTGGCCTGAAGTTTCTCATATCATCTGGATTTGGTGTTTTAGGGATCAAGGTGAGAATAGTTGCATTCACTTGTTTAGGCACCCTATCTTGTTCAAAGCAAAATTGAATAGCAGCAGTTACCTCAGGGCCAATGATTGACCAAGCATATTGAAAGAAAGCCGCAGAGAAGCCATCTGGACCAGGACTCTTATCTCCATCCATTTTGAATATAACATCTTTAAACTGCTGCTCTGTGAAAGAGTCACATATATCTTCAGTTTGTTCCTCATTGAGCTTCCACTTTAGCAAACCAGAAATATACTCATCTGTTTGAATTTCAACCTCAGGATCAGACACACCAAGCAATCTTTCATAGAATCTAACAGCAATTTGAGACATTTCTTCCACTTCCTGAATTTTTTCCCCTTGCTCATTTTTCAGAACCCTTATTGTACTCCTCTTCTGTCTGGTTTTGATGGATCTGTGGAAATATGCTGAGTTTGAGTCCCCAGTCCTCAACCAAGTTTCCCTTGACTTCTGATGGAGCAAAGATTCCTCATCATGACTTAGTGCTCTTAGTTCCTGTTCCAGCCTTATCATGTTGTCAAAGTTATCAGTAGATGGGTTTAGTAATGCCTGTTGTTGCATAAGTTGAACTTCAGCTTCCTTTTCTTTAACTCTTTCTCTTAAGTCTGAATACTCCTCCCTATTGACCTTCCTCAGCATATTCTTCAAATTCTTCAGCTTCTTGCACACTTTAATGAGAGGGTGACCTATCACCTTGCTATTCCATGCCTCTGCTAGCAATTCATCAAATTTTGGATGTTTCAACCACAATTTGAATGGCTTCGGTAGTGATTTCATAGAGGCACATGTGTCAACATATAATGGACAGTGGTCCGAGACTCCAGGAGCTTGAATGTGAACCTTAGTGTCCTTAACCAAATCTAACCAAGCAAAGTTAACCAGAACCCTATCTAGTCTCTTAGCAATTGGATTGGCAGCTTGTTTATTTAACCAAGTGAACCATGTCCCCCGTTGCTTGATGCTCTTCTAGTTCAAGATCATTGATCCAATCATTAAACCCCATCGTTCGAGAATCCACTATAGGAGAGTTTGAGGCTTCTGAAGGAGCCCTAATATCATTAAAGTCACCCAATACAATCAAAGGAGCATGAGTCACATTAATTCTTCTCAATTCATTATATAGCTCCCTTCTGCTAGCTTCCTCATTTGAAGCATAGACAACTGTTCCAAAGAACACCTGTAACCCACCAACCATAAACTGTATGTACTGATCAGATGAGTGCAAAACAGTGAGCTGAATGTCCTTTTCCAGAGTAGCCAAATTTTCCCTAGGCCATTTGAATTATGTTGAACTTCTTCCAATCTGGGAATCTCTTCTCAACTAGCTTATCTGTCTAAGAGGATCTTATTCTAGGTTCTAGTATTGCAACTATGTCTATATTATACTTATTTATCTTCTTAAGTATAGTTGTGTATTTACCTTCTGCTTTAAACCCTCTCGTGTTCCAGGTAAGGATTTTCATCTCTTACCTCTTCCCCTTCCACCTTTACCTCCTTTCTTTGGTTGAATGGGAACCAAAGGAGAATCCACCCAAAATTTCTTTCCTTTGTCAATAAGAGGCTGCCTGTTTTCTTTCCCTGTATCTCCCTGAGTTGTCTTAAGTCGAAGGCTCCCAGTCGCTGGTGACCTTCCACTAACAGACTCATGCCCACCAGCAACAGAATTCCCACCCACAGATGGTGATCCCATCACTATCTGAGCAAAATTGAGCGGAGAGCCCCCATTTGAGGAAGGAGCTTGAACAGCCACACTCGTTTCAGTTGCACTAGTCTCACCCTTCAGGGTTTGGTTCCTTGTCACCGACTCCCCCTTGTGTTGTCTCCATTGTAACATCAGTATTCTCAACTTCCACAGCAGTAGTAGCCCCTATAACACCCCCAGTTTCCAGCCCCTCTATCAGCAGCTTAACCATTTCACCACCATCAGCAGGGACCTCTTTGTTCTGCAATTCCCCATTCGTTCCATTTCCATGAACCCCCTCAGGTTGTTGTACCATGTCTTTGTCCACTACCCCAACTTCCTGTCCCTCAATTACCAATTGCTCTTGTTCACCCTCATTTGCAATCTGCACTTCCTTAACCTTCCACTGTTTCACTGGCTCTTGTGCACAACTATGCCCAAATAGGCAACACTTCGAGCACACTTTCGGCAGATGCGAGTACTCCAGACCAATTTCGAAGTCAGGGTCATTATCAGGGTAAAACCTGACTTTGTCAGGGAACCCACAATCTGCAGCAACTTCAACACAGACTTTCGCAAACCCCAGCTGAGCGCCTACCCTAGTCTTCTGGTCTGTCCAGAGCGGCTTCCCAATCACACTTGCAACCCATTCAACCCCATCACTACCCAAATATTCAAGAGGTAATCCCCTAATCATGACCCATATCAGTAGCGTAGCAACCTTTGGCACCACTGGTTGAATGCCCACTTCCCACTTCCAGAAACAAATCAGATTCCCCTTGAAATGCCACGGCCCCGAAGTGAAAACCCACTCACACGAAGAAGGAGAAGGAAACTGGAAGATTAGAAGCTTCAGACCAAATCGCGATACCCTCACAATACCGTCTCTCCCCCATAGCTTGTTTGCCCATGACTGGAGCTCAGCAACCTCTGGACGCTTCCCGACAAACTGACCCACTAAAGAATCGCGCCATCGTTCAGCACCCTTCTCCTTAACCTCCTTCGGAATACGAAAGCCATCATTGACCCTCTCTGGGGGCCTAAAGGTAAGTTGCTTTTCTGGAGCAACAGCAAAGAGACTCACCCAGGAAGAAGAGCCCTCACCAGCCGGGGGAGCCGGCGAGGCGGCCATCGCCGATTTAGGTTTTCCTCAGAGAACGGAAAGGAGAGAGAAAGAAGGAGAGAGTTTCATTATTCACTCTTATTGCCATTTTATTTATTTTTCATACTCTAAGTTCACAATAAATTTATTATAATAATAAATTCGTTGGATTATGGTTCACAAGTTCACAATAAGTTGTTCATTTACTTGTTATGGTTAACAAATTATTTCATATAATATTTCGAATGATCGTATCTATCTAAAATTATATCGTGAGATAGCTATTATAATAATAATAAATTAGTTGAGTTTATTTTATATAATTATTTTTACATACACTAAACTTCCACCTTGCGCCCATTTCATTTGCTACCTCCGCCCCTGCTACTAAATTTGTTAGTTATCCAAAAAGTCGATAACTATTTATGTATTTAACCCATAAAATCCATACTCGAAGTTAACATCCCAACAAATATGTGAAATGGGAACTTAATTGATGGATGAGAAGTTGGATTTGGCTCTGTAATTAAGAGGATTTGGGAAATATATTACTTTTTTAAACTCCAACTATAGCGGCACTCGCTGTCCTGGGTAGATGGAGGTCGACCGAGACACCCTGCATCGCGATCGGCATCAATCAAGGTGCATGCACAAGCATTTTTCTTTTTTAAATATTCTTTTTTCACTTGATTAGTGTTGCAAAGGGTAATTATAACTCATAATCTCGTGATGAAGCACAAACTATCTTACTATCTCGAAACCTTTCTTCAGTAAGACTCATATCATAGTAGGATAAATTGACGTTGTTTTTAAAGTGGCCTAAAACTGAAAAATCTTTCAACACTTAAAGTTGTAAGTGGTATAATCAATACAAGTTCATGAAGCAAATAATCTGATGAATATAATGAATTTATTTTTGCCTTCACCATAAACTAAGCTAATACCTGCATTTCTTTTAGGGTAAATACAATTTAATATCCAAACCTTTCATTTTAAACAATATAATAGCCAAACCTTTTCGAAAACAATCTAATATCCAAATCGTCAACTTTCCGTTCGTTTGACCGTTAGTTGACACTTCAAAAAAGTTCGAAGTACGACGCTTCATCAATATCCATCGATATCTTTTCTGAAAAACCACCAACATATCGTGGTTCCAAACCCGAGAAGTCCATGACTCCACCATGATGGTATAGAATATCTAAATATTCAGTCATCTGCAATGCCAAAACAAGAAAACAAAGTTGTATTGCAAAAATTTTCCCTAAACAAAGCTTTTTTGAAGTGTCAACCAACGGTCAAACGGACGAAAAGTTGACGATTTGAATATTAGATTGTTTTCGAAAAGGTTTGGCTATTATATTGTTTAAAATGAAAGGTTTGGATATTAAATTGTATTTACCCTTTCTTTTAACCTTAGAAAAACTCATTCTAGACACAATGATACTAATTTTCAAAGTTGTGTAGAAAAATGAGTAAAAGAGATGATCAAACCCATTAAGATAGAATTGAATAAGACTTATTAGCTTTCCCTTGTCAAAAGCAGCAAACTCATTCTCCGTGTTAGGACAAGTAATACAAAGTAACAAGCTAGTATTAACCCCATCAAAGTGGTAGTTCAACTTCTAACAGTTGCATATAAGGAATCAAGTAAATTAATTCAATCTGATAGTGATTCAAGCTTTGTATAAGAAGGGTGCGAGATTGAAGATTTAATTTTTAGAGTTTGTATAGAAGTTGGGAAATTGGTTTTAATTGGAGTTTGTCTAAGATTGTAATTTGTATTTATGTTTTACACATACCAATAAATTGTTAGTAGTGTAATGTATAACATTTTCTCTAAATATTGTAGTGTTACCTGTTCGACTCACTAATGCTACTATTTATTTTATTTCTTTTTTCTCTAAACTCAAACTACTATATTAGATGATCGATAATCCCCCTCCCCAAATTTTACGGTGTCCCGAGCACCCCTGAAAGACTAATAAATCTGCATCTATTATAAACTCAAAGAGGATCATTAATTTTTCTTTCCAATTTTATGGTTTTCTGCGATTCCCCTAAAGGGCCCTGGCTCCGCCACTGAGGAATTGAGCCTTGATGCAAGATCGATACATAGAGAATGATTAGAAAGAGAATTAAGAGATAATAATGGATATGTTTTCAGACATAGATAGAAATTCAAATCAGAATAGAAGAATGTACGTAACAAAGAATAGAGAACTAAAGAATAACAAAGAAAACGGTGATCAATTGAAATTGACTATGAGGATGTGGAATTTTAGGGTTCAGGTAAAATGAATGGAATCAGACTACCAGGGAAGGGAACTACGAAGAAGAGTGTATGCGACTCTTTACGTTCCTTCTCTTTAAGTCTGGGCTCAAAAGATTCCAAGCCCAATTTCCAGCCTTAATGAAACCCGAGCCCAAAATAGAACAGTTCAAGCCCAGTCTCTGTTTTGACAAGGAAACCAGAAACGTTTATATCTTCGTTATGTGCATAGCACAATACCACAGCAGAGGAAAACAGGGGAAGAACAAAGAGCTGAAGGAACTAATCGAGAACACAAAAGATGATCAAGGAAAGAAATAACACACGATGTTTTTAACGAGGTTCGCCCAAGTGCAATGGTTTACTTCCTCGTCCCAGAATATGGTCTGGGATACCTTTGATTATTTTTCAGTTTTTCAAACGAAATGAAAGACTAGAATGCAAAACGAAATATGAGAACAAAAACAAACTAACCACTAAGATCAGCCTTGATCTAATGTGCCTTGACAAACTCAGAACCTCTACCCCTGAGAGTGTCAAACCCCTAATGCAATTTCCTAGCTTCAGTCCTGTACCACTGAGAGCTTATGCAAAAAGTGCCTCCTCATGAAATCAGCAGCAAGAATATATAGAAAGAGGCAAACTAGCCGTTGCACACAGGAAAGGCAACTTTCCTTGACATCAACATGTTTCCTTAAATGGCGGCTTTGATTCTGCAATCTTTCAGATTCAATCTCGAACTTGAATTAGTCAACAATCTCCCCCTAAGTTGGAGATTGCAGATTGCTTCAAACCTGCAAACATTTAACAAACACCTTTCCTCCACGGATCAAGCAGCAAGAGTCTAAAATAAGATAACTCCAATTGACAGATAAAAACACATTCACAATCCGAAGCTCCCCCTGAGCATTACACAAAATAAGTCCAACAACCAAAGGAAAACAGGCTCAACAAAGATGCTCACACAATCAACCTCTAAAAGCAAAGCAGATTCTACTACAACCAGTTTCTAATAGAGCTGACCCTAATCAGAGTTTGAGCCATAGAGCTCTTGGAGAACAACTGCAAAAGATGCAAGAGGAACAGGAGCAGGGGCAGCAATCTCTGGTTCTGCTATCTCTGGTGCTTCCACAGCTCCGACACCCTCATTTTCAACCTCGGAGTCGCTGCTGATCCAGTGGAAGATGCCATCCTCCCCCTCAATCGCAATCCCAATTTCATGAAGCACGTCATCCGCGGTAAGCCACAGAGAAGGATTCTCAGTACGATAGGGAGACAGATTAAGTGGCAAGGCAAGCAACAGATGAGTAATCATAGCGCCAAACGGGAGAGGAACATGAAAATTATGATCGATGAAGGGAAGAAGAGCTCCAAACAGAAGATGAGAGAAGTCCAGAGGGACGGCAGCAACAACATGGGACAGAAGAATCCACAAATCCAGAGGAACGACACGATTGAGGAAAATCGAGCGAGGAAGAAAGACCCTGGTCAAAATGTAGTGAAAAGCTTTCAGGGAAGGATAGAGGAGATCCGCAGAGAAGGATAGATCTTGGTCAGGTTCATGACCAGTGAGGTGAACTGCCTCAGAGACTACATCAAAATTGAATAAGGGGAGTTCAGCAGGATGGGCAAGAGCCTCCCCAAAAGCAGGAATATGAAGGAGGCGACTGATATCATGCAGGGAAAGAGTAATCATGTGCCCATGCACAAGAGAAGACAGGGTGCGAGATTGAAGACCAAAATAGCGCAGGTTTGAGAAGAAAAATCTGACAGCCTCAAGACACACAAGGGTAGATGAAGCTTCAGGAGACAGCAGGAATTCTCAACCTAGGTTCTGAATAAACGGCATCACATCCAATCCTAGAGGTAAGAAATCAGGAAAGCTTAGGATGGTGGAAGGATTGATGGGACGCTTGGCAAAGGACTGAGTGTGACGATGATA